GGAAGGGACACCTGGCATCACCTGTGCCTTACCAAACCCCCACAGGCTGGTAACTGTGCAGCAAAAGCATCCAYGCGGAGTCACGGTGCCAGAGCTGTTGCATTTCAGTTTCTCACTTAAGGCATTTTATAGCAGCTTCCCCATTGGGGATAAGCCATAAAAAGCAAGCAGGAGTACAAGGATGCATCTTTATGTTTACTACTGCCTCTCATGTTACTTTTAAATACATTTTGTGCACAGTTTTAAACCCACCCCCTTGCTCAGAGGATGAACTGTTTTGTCTAAAACAGGTTGTTTCCTCTTGTGCTAGACGATCTCCTAAGAGGGAAGCTTGTACTTTACTAAGGTGCCTGCCTTTAAAGCAGGCTTCCAAAAGAAAGGAACAAGGGAGTATCCTTTTCTTGCAAAAGGTTAACAGAATCTAAATCCAGTGGTTTCTCAGTTTTGCCTGAGTAGTGAACTGGCATTTCTAATGGGGAGAGACAAAGGCGCCATGTAAAATGCATTAAAACCTAGCAAGAATCAGTGCTTGAAAAAAACAAATGGACAAAATTAAGTTGTGAAACATAGAAGTTCAATCTGACCCCCAATGATATTTTCTTTTAGCCAGTTCATGTGATACCTGGTGAAGTGWGAGCTAAAGGTTTGCAATTGAAATACTGTGCTGGTTAGCACCTTTGTTTTCCCCAGGTTTCCCAATACTCTGCTCCACAGTGTAAGCTATTGCATCACTTTAGAGAAGTCACTCAGCTCTTGCTACCGTTTCTGCCGGTAAAATTGGGAACTTGCATTGCTCTGTTCCAATGGCAGTCTCAGAAGGGACAAGCATCTGTCCTTTGTTGTCTTTACACACAGCCTGTTACCGTCAGCTCCTGTCTCTGGTTGTTACTGTGCTCCTAAAATTGTGATAGCGCTACCACAGAGAGCAGTGAGCACTGGAGTGCCCTGTTCTGCAGTCAAATGTACAACAGGTGAAATCCTTTCTTTGTGCATGACTTCAGAGATTTGAATGCTCCAGGAACAGGACAGCAGACCTTCCTCTCTGCTTAGGTGCAAGGCAGGTGTTGTATGTGGCTGTGTTGATGAAGGTAATTATGTTTTTGGTTTTTTCTTAATCCTAAACAAGATAAAAGGTCCCTGATTGTAGAGCAGAAGAATGGTTAATGTGGAAGAAATCTTTCAATAACAAGAAGCTGTTTAGTTTGAGAGCACTTAAGGGGTGTCTGTGTTGTTGGTGAGAATTTTAATGCCTTCTTTTTCACATCTGTTAAATATTCAGCATGTGTTTTTAGCAATCTTTACCCTTTTTGTGAGGCTGAACGGGTTTGATTGGATTTTATGCAATTAGTATACTGTGTGAGTTTGTGAGGATTTGCATTGATTCTGAGATGATTTCTCTTTGTCTGCTTGTGGTTTTCTTCAAATGTCTGAGCATGTGCACCATGGTGGTGAAAGCATTTGAGGAAAATAAATGTCAAAATCCCATGTGCTGCTACTGCTGAAAGTGGGAATTAAACTAAGATCTGCCAGCTTTCATTGTAAGAGTTCTTGTGTGCTTTTCATAAAMGATAAGTTTAGTTTTAGGGAACAGATAAGTCTTGTCTGTTTTGGGTGTTGAATTACAGAAAGCAAAAGCATTTAGAAAGTTGTTCATTGAATATGCTCAGAAAAAAATATCACAGTGGGATGTGGTTTCTGAGAGCAGGAAMAAGGCCAATCTTATGTCATAGACTAATAAAATGTATTAAGCATGAAGTAGTAAAAGTTCTGTAGGAAATCCTCTGAAACTGGGGAGGAATAGCAACTTACAGTCAGTGTTCTTGGAAAAATAGAACGTTAAATAAAATATGAGACAAAATTACATTTGGCCTCTCTGTTGTAAGAAAACTTGGCAGAGGCTGAGTATCCTTCAGAAGGGAACATTGCTTGCTGTGAGTGCTTTTGCTTTGCAGTGCTCTCCTGTGAAGAGAACTCCACAAGCAAGTCCCAAAACATTTCCTTGATGCACATTGTTGGTGCTGTACTGAGGAGTTTGGTCAGAAAGTAAAAGATTGCTAAATCAATGATTCCAARTGTTTTCTAGCAAATATTTGCCTTAGGAGCTGTCTAACTTTGGGAGATGCACAAACAGGTTTCCAGCTCCCCTGGTTGGAAGGACCATTTCAGGTGGTGAATGGAACCCAGGGAGAGCTCCTTCTGCAAGCCCAAACGTGGCCTGAAAGGGAGGTTTTGAGGGAAGCACAAGCTATTCCTCCTCTGCAGTGAACCCATTGCCAACCTCAGCAAGCCACAAAGAGGAGTAGAAAACGTGGAAATGCAGTGGTGTCTCACAGTGGCACCTCTGGAGAACTGACCAATGTTGGTGGAGTCCCATACACGTGCATTTCTCCACGGAGCTGTTTGCTCTCTTGCTCTGGAGGGCAGTTCTTCATGCAGCATTTGCACACCACTGTGTTAAAGCCTGGTTTGCACTTATGCTGTATCGCATGGGGACTTATATTTTATAAGCCTTCAGAAGGTAACACCTCCAGACTGTAGTTTTTGCTGGGTGAAGTCACTCTGTGACTTAATTGCTCAAAGTCTTTCCCCACATTTGTTCTCAGCGGGAGCAGATTGCTGGAGGTGAAGCTGTTGCAAGGGAGAGCCTTCCCCCACTTTACTTTCCTTCCCAGTGTGCAGGGGAACTGGTGCTCTGGTGTGGTATCACTGTGCTGGAAAYCAAAAGCCTGACTTTGTGCTGGATGAGTTGCTGTCCTATGAGGAACATTTAGGGGAAAGCAACTGATTGTTTAAGGATTGGCTGTGAGAAAAAGGATTTGACTTGTTATTTACCTCAGAACTGTTAATCAGAAAAAGCAATTATTCAGCACTCCTGAAATCTTACTCTCTGCTTTCCTGAGATTTTTTTACTCTGAGTTGCTGAATGATGATGTTACTGTGTTCTAAACTATTTTTTTTACACTAGACCCAGTTGATTGGTAGTTACAGCTTGAAAATCCCAGTTGAAAAATTAATTATCTGCATTACATCCTAGAATCAAAATCTTTGGGGGCTAATTTAGATTCAATGTTATTATGCTAACATCTTCTTAGCAGCTCTAACTTCATCTTTCCTCCTCTAGCTCAAAGGATTTGCATTCCCAGTTGTAGGTGAAGTGCTCCAGGCCTGCCATGGCCAAGAAGGACATGGTAGCATGCATTGTTCTGGAGATGCCACTTTCCCTGTCTCTGACTTGGTGGGTTGATACGTGATGGACTGGTACACTACGAGCTGTGGTTGCTGAACCAGGAAATGTGAAAATAGATTGCAGAGTGAGGAAGGAAGGGGTGCAGAAATCCTGTGCTGCTGCCAGGTACCCTCCTAGTGTGTGATAAGCTGATCCATATGGCTTGGAAATCAATTCTCACCTTGTAGAGCTCATGTAGCAAGGGTGAGAGCTCCTTATTTCACCCATGTCAGCCTCTGACTGAAAGGATCAAAGGGATTCATGCTTGTCATTGTAACAGRTCCCTAAAATCTTGTCCAYCAGTCTGTGGTGCTTTCTTTTTKACACTGGGAGAGTCCAGTCTAATCYGAATATTCAGGAYSTTTACYGGACAATGTGACAGAAGGTGGATTTGGTCTGAGTTTCCATAACATGGAACAATTGGATCCATCTTTAACCTGGGGGTCAGGCAGGGGGAGACTTCCAGGGCCCGCCATCTCTGAGCAGCATGGGGCACATATCCTGCCCTCCCCGTGATTTACCGCTTTTGTGTGGGGAGGTTGCTATTTTTCTATTCCCAAGTATTTACTGTGGGCTTATCTGCTCCAACTTCACCCTTCCTCCTCTACATCAAAGGGTTTGCATTCTGGGTTGTAGGTCAAACTCTCGGGCGTTCCCATGGTCAGGGAGGATGCATCATTCTGGAGATGACACTTTCCCTTCTCTGCCTCGGTGGATTGATACGTGATGGGCTGAGCCATGGTGAGAAGTGATCACTGGGCTTTTCTCCTCCCGAGTACCTCGTGCGGGCTTGTTCATGACMGGGAAGGACCGCTCGGACAAGCACCCAAACAGCATCCTCTGGGTTGGGCTGTGCTCGTGCATTGCCGGGACGCCCAGGCAGCCCTGCCCCGCGCTCCGGGAGCGGAGGAAATGCTGTGCTGGCCCCCGTGGCCGGTGTCACTGTCCCGTTCCCGTGGCCGGTGTCGCTGTCCCGTTCCCGTGGTCGGTGTCACTGTCTCGTTCCCGTGGCCGGCGTCGCTGTCCCGTTCCCGGGGCCGGTGTCGCTGTCCCGTTCCCGTGTCCGGCGTCGCTGTCCCGTGGCCGGTGTCGCTGTCCCGTTCCCGTGGCCGTGTCGCTGTCCCGTTCCCGCGGCCGGCGTCGCTGTCCCGTTCCCGCGGCCGGTGTCGCTGTCCCGTTCCCGTGTCCGGTGTCGCTGTCCCGTTCCCGKGGCCGGTGTCGCTGTCCCRTTCCCGCGGCCGGTGTCGCTGTCCCRTTCCCGCGGCCGGTGTCGCTGTCCCGTTCCCGTGTCCGGTGTCGCTGTCCCGTTCCCGTGTCCGGTGTCGCTGTCCCGTTCCCGTGGCCGGTGTCGCTGTCCCGTCCTGTGGGGGGCGCTGCTGCGGGGCCGCCCCCGCCCGTCCGCGCGAGCAGCCGCTGCCCCGGGGCGCGAGGCCGGC